AACTGTATTTCAATATAATTCATTTCCTTTGTAATCCTATTAGGGATTTTAAATATTCTATGCATTTTAAAACATTCTGAGAAGGAGTTCTTAGGTTTTATCAGACTGCCAAATGGATCCATGCCACAAAAAAGGTCAAGTTTAATGGGATCTGTGGGTAGAACTTTTAGTCAAAATGGCAAACTTAATATTAGAATTGGCTACTGTTTTAGAGGATTCCTGTATTGCCAATGTAACTCTTATTTAAAAGAAGGAATCCAAGCGTGACCCTAGGATCTTTAAACTGTCTAGTCTTCCATGATAGGCATCTGATGCAATCAGAATAAAGATTGGAATCAATGAATACTTAAATCAATATTATCTTTGGAGAATAGATAATATAGTTTCTCTAAAGAGAAATCATGTCTGAATAATATACTTGATTTCTTTAAGTTCATCAATAAAAGTATACAAGAGAGAACTGGTAATTAATTTATTTAGACTCTCAAAATCATTAACAAGGCAGCCTGCCTGTAAAGGGAAATTTTTTCTAATTGAGTTGCCATGAGATTTAGAATATTTTATCATGGAAACCATTTACAGGTATAAAAAACTTTCTAAAGGCAAAGGGAAAAGAATAATCATCTCGCACTTAAAACAGCTGAATTCCCAAAGAACAAGTGCTAAGAAACTATTTTAGCTAACATTTTATAAGTAATTTTGAAGATGCTATATGTAATATCTCCAAGTTTGAAGATGACACTAAACACCCTCTGGCCAAAAAAAAAAAAAAGGCAAACTAATAGGAATGAATTTCTAGAATTTTTTATGAAATGGCGAGTGGACAGAAAAATCATAGGTTTCGTATATTAAAGTAATACACTTAGGAATGTATATTATAAATTATGACTGTAAGAGATAGATTTTTAAACCATTAATTACAACCCATGAAAGAACAATCTAAAGCTCATTGTCACTTGTTTCTTGGGCAAATCTAATGCTGCTATATAGCCACAGGCCAAACAAATGTTTGACTTCAAATATCAGAAGTGAAAAAAAGGCACACCCTTTTACAAAACCGTGGCGAGCATAGATCAACAGAATGTACAGAAAAGGATAACTTAAGTGAGGGTTTTGACCTAAAGTTATTTTCTAAAGTTTTTAAAGTTCAGGACTTGGGAAATTAACAAATGTTTATTAAGCTCCTACTTTGTATCTGGTACCAAAGAACTTAAATCTAACAGGAGAGACATAAGTATATAAAAGTATACATATCAAGCAGGCAGAAAGCTGTCTTGGATGAGAAGGTAGTACTGCCAGGAAAAGGACCTTTTACAGAAGGTGTATTTAACCTGTATTTTAAAGGAAACTATGGGACTCTTAAGTGGCTGAGATGAGGAGAGGGAGAATTCCAGACATGGGAGACAGCCAGTGAAAAAAGGACAGAGGTAGGAGATGGGAAATATCAAATAGGCTGCTCTGACTGGATCATCAAATGTGTGGAGGGCATTAATGTGTAACTGGACTAGAAAAGTAGGAAACAGACTGTGTGAAAGCATAAGCTGAGATGCCATGTGATAAGAGTTCCCTGACTCAGAGATCATCTACTAGTCCATAGGTTCCCAAAGTGGGCGATACTGCCCCCTGGAGGGCACTGGAACAATGGAGAGAGGGGCAGTGCCTCTGGTGCAGTGGCGGGTGTTGAATAAAAATAAAAGTTAACTTAATCTAAGGGGGTGGGGGAGCTGAGTAAATTTTTTGTAAGGGGGTAGTACGCCAAATAAGTTTGGGAACCTCTGATGGTTCAGCCTGCTCCTTTTGTGTTTTTCTTTCTCTCTTTCTCTTTTTTGAATGGGCAGTGGGGGGAGGGGGAGTGGTAAGTGACTTGTCCAGGGTCACACAGCTAGTAAGTGTTATGTGTCTGAGGCCAGATTTGAACTCAGGTCATCCTGACTCTAGGGCCAGTGCTCTATCTCCTATGCCACATAGTTGCCCCAGAGGTCAAATGTGTTCTTTTTTTCTTTCCTGCTCCTTTTGTGAGTGAGAAAACTCAGGCAGTTTTGAATTTTCATTTGTTTTGTACGGTGGACATGTGTTAAGAAATTAATAGATTGGTCCAGTATTGACTTTTCCCTCAATATTATGATTTATTTATAGAGAGCATAGTATAATTCTTAAACTTACCATAGTGCCTGGCACATATTAGTCACTTAATAAATGTTTATTGACTAAGCCCCCTCCCTTCTTTCCAGTCCTACACCTTACCCCTTACCATACATTCTTCTATCCAGTGACACTGGCCTCTTGGCTCTTCCAGGAGCAAGACTCCATCTCTTGACTCCAGGCATTTTCCACTGCCTCTCCCTTATGCTTGGAGTGCTCTCCCTTCCTCAGCTCTACCTTCTGACTTGCTTGGTTTCCTTTAAATCCCATCTTATACCGGAAGCTTTTCCCAGCCTCTTTTAATTCTGGTGCCTTCCTTTTGTTTCCTATTTATCATGTATATAGCTTGCTTTGTATGTATTTGTTTGCATGTAGTCTCCCCCATCCTTCCGTAAGCTTCTTGAGAGCAGGGACTGTCTTTCACCTCTTTTTATATCCCCAGGGCTTAGCACAGTGCCTGGCCAATAGTATAAATTTAAGAGATATTGATTGATTGACTGAAAACTAAACTCTGTGACCCTGGCCAAATTACTTAATCTCCCCATGCTTTAGGCTATAACCTGAGATTTATCTACTAAATTCAAAATCTTGAATTCATCTGTAGCTTTTCCTTCTACCACTTCCCTAGAATCATATCAGTTACCCAGTGTTGTAAATTCTATCTTCACAACATCTCTTTTATACATCGCCTTCTTCTCATCCATACAATCTGTCTCATTGTTCATACCTTCATCACCTCGTCTAGAGAATTGCAGTAGCCTCCTAATTGGTGTCCCTTCTCCAGTCTATCCTCCACCTTACTGCCAAACTGATATTTCTGAAACATCTGACACTTCCTTTGCCTCCCTCCCCCATTATCTTAAGTGGTTACCAGTCATCTCTAGACTAAGACACAAAATCCTCAACCTGACATTTAAAGCCTTCCATAATCTGGTTCCAACTTACTTTCCAACTTTATTTCATATTATTTCCTCTTACACACATTCTCTGTTCTAGTCAAACTGGGCTACTAACTGTTCTTTGTATTTGAGATTCCATTTCCCACCTCTCCACTACTACATAAGTGGTCCCTTTTGTCTGAAATGCATTCTCTCGTCACCTCCACTATGTAAAATCTCTAGTTTCCTTCAAAACACTGCTAAGGTTTCACTTTTATTTGAATTCTTGCAGTAATACTTCAAGTATAGGGGTGGGGAACCTACAGCCTCGAGGCCACATATGGCCTTCTAGGTCCTTGGGTGTGGCCTTTTGACTGAGTCCAAGTTTTATAGAACAAATCCTTTTGTTAAGGGGATTTATTTGTTCTGTGAAATTTGGATTCAGTCAAAGGGCTGCACTTGAGGATGTAGAGGGCCACATTTGGCCTTGAGGCCTCAGGTTCCCCACCCCTGTCCTAGTACCTGCCTCACAGGGTTATCTTGAATATCAAATGAGTTAATATAGATTAACTACTTAAAATGGCGTCTAAATGCCATCTATTTATTTATTTATTTATTTTTATGACTAGCTGAAAGACAGTGTGGGCACTAATCTATCATCCATATTCTCTCATGTTTGCATTACTTCTGCTTCTAAACAGTTCCAAAGGTGAAATAACTGCTATAGTTTCGTTTTTAAAGAGTATATTTCATAGAAAAAACCTGGGGGGGGGGGGCGATGGAAATAGGGTGGTCTTATTCTTAGTTGTTTAATTTTTCCAATTTTTACACTTAAGAGCAAGATTTAGAAAATGATCAGGTCATATGACACTAAACTGAATGTTAGAGTTCCAGGAGTTTCAAGCTTTTGAGCCTGGAAATAAGATGTCTCAGAAACCTCTACATAATCAAAGTTATGTTTCTGGGGCTTCCCTTAGTGCAAATTCATTCATTTAATGTCATTCTTAACAAACTTTGTTTTCCCATCCATAATGGATTATGATATTGGACCAGATGGTTTCCGAAATCCCTTCAAGCTCAAATCTGTGATGCAATCTATTGATTATATTTTATAGAATTAAGGGAATTAGAAGTAGACATAATGACAAAATGACAAATTAGCTGATAGTCTGATGTGGAGAGGATAGCTGCATAACAGCAACATGCAATAGTGTTATTAATAATGAAGACCCTGAGTCATGAATGAATATAAAACTCATTTATATGGTATAGCACTGTATGATTACAAAGAATTTTGCATACATTTTTATTTAATCCTTACAACTTTCCTTCAGGTATATAGTGCAAGTCATTACTCCATTTTTACAGTTTGGGAATATGAATTTAGGAGGTTAAAGTAACTGGTCCAAGATAACAAAATTAACAAGAACCCAGAATTCTGATGGATGTACAGTGACCTTGCTACTTCTGCATGAATCTGACTGATTCTAGTGTTTCATTTACAGTTTAATTATGAAATGATAGAAGCTAACATGTTGTGATTAAGAACATTAAAGGAATGACAAATTAATTTGTCTTACAGTCATGAAGAGACATTATTGACAAATCTGGTTGTGTAGGTTAATGATTTCTTGGTTCTGGAGTCCTTCATAAATTTTCCATGGCAACGAAATATGCTTTAACCACTCAAGAAGGATGAATCAAAAAAAAAAAAAAAGAAAAGAAAAGGGGAAGGAGGAGGGTCTTTTAGTATGAAGTTAGTCTTTTAAAGCGTTAACAGTTTAATATTGGCCAATCTTTCCAGACTGTGGCTCCTGGCCTCTTTCAAATAGGTTACTTTCCTTTGGCTGTCACGAAAACAGAAAACACCTAACACTACTATGTTAACTAATGTGGTCTTGGATTTCTTAAACAAGACTGAATGCTTGGTTATTTTTTGTTTATGTAAAAGCTAATTCTTACTCTTTGCATCTATTTTAGTAATAGTTATGCACGAGTGCGAGCTGTGGTGATGACCCGGGATGACTCTAGTGGTGGATGGTTACCACTTGGAGGAGGTGGACTGAGCTCTGTCACTGTCTTTAAAGCCCTTCATCAGGAAGAGAATGGCAGCTATGCTGACTTTATTATTCATGGAGAGCGACTCAGGGACAAAACGGTAATAAATTTGTATCCTTAAGATGTGTAATAATTTCTTACGTTATATATAATCTTAAAGGACTTCTGAAGAACAATGAATTTATTGCTAGTAATGGGATGAAACTCCTCTTCCCCACTATACTAACCCTGCTTCCCTTCTTCTTTTTTATTTTGTTCTTTGTAGCTCAGTTAAGGCTCACTTACACATCTTCTTTAATCCCATCCCTCCCCTACATTTTCAGTTCTTACCTATTTACCTTAGAAAAAAGTTTTCCTTCTCTTCATTCTATTTATGAGCTTTAAAAGTTATCCTAATCATAACTAAACAAATTATCATAGAAATTTAACTTGTGTCAAGCAGAGGAAAATTTACACATTTTATACCGAAATTAAATATAACAAAGAACAAAACACCAAACTTGTGTAAAATCTTTGAAATTGGAAAAAAAAATCATTGAGAATATGTCGCTGTCTCTCTAAAATCTCATCCTCCTCTAATTAAATCTCCTTGTGTTAATCATTCAAATTACTTAATAGATTTTATGGTTTTGTTGTTTTGTTCCAATAGTGTCATTTTCCACCCTATTTCCTTGCAGATGTGCAGTACTTTTTAGCACATTGATTAAGTGGTCTTTTGTGGACTGTCCTGAGAACATAATTAGTTATAATTTTTCTATAGGAAAATGTCTCTCGAATTCCAGACACCTAACTTACAAATGAACCTATTTTCAAACTCTTTCATTATCCAACTAACTGGAACTTTTGAATTTTTAACACACTGGGTGCTATTAAGCTGTAACCACAGTATTATAAAACGTCAGGCTTCTAGAATAGGGTATTGATTGTTGCAAAAAGCATTCCTGTTTGAAAAGTGATTCTTAATTGAATTATATGTAACTTCTGATGAGGATAGAGGTTGATATGATTAAAAGGCAGTTCACTTTTAAGAGTTGCCTAGGACTCGGTCCCAAAACTGTCAGAGACAGGGCTCTGACTTGGGTCTTCCTGAGTCTGCTCTTACAGAACTTTGCTTCTGTTATGTTTCTCTTCATCAGACTTTGCACGTAATAGGTGCTTAATTAAGGTTTGTCAAAGTGAAGTAAATTGACCTGTCAGTAAAAGATTTCGGTGAATAAGAATGATGTGATAGTTTAGAAAGACTAGAAAAACAGAGTTGAGGCCCTCAGATCCCAGAATGGATGGAGAGCATAACCATAACCAGAAGAAAAGCTCTTTAGGATGTTGTCTATACATATTGGCAAGAGAACATCAATTAAGTTGGTAGTTAGGTGCGTGCCTAGACCAGGGGTGGGGAACCTGCAGCCTCAAGGCCAAGGATTTGTTCTGTAAAATTTGGACATAGTTGAAAGACGTTACCAAAGGATTTAGAAGGCCACACGTGGCCTTGAAGCCCCAGGTCCCTCACCCCTGGCCTAGGCCTTTTCTTTTTTTTTTAAACCATAACCCAGAGAGGATGGGACTGTGGCTCTAACCCCAGGGAAAAGGACCCATTTCTTCATAGACTGAGGAAACTAAATGATAAAGTTCTGCCTGAATCTAATGGAAGATGAAGTGGGATGGGGTAACAGGACCAGGATGGACCTGCAAATTAGAAAGAGAGAAAAGGAAAGCCCTAAAAAGAAATTCTTTAATACCCTAAGCCTGCATTGAGTCGATTGAGTAGTAGAAAGGTATAATGTTTAAATTGTGAATAATTTTTACCATTTTGTTGTTGTTATTATTCAGTCATTTTTCAAGTCTTGTCTGACTCTTTGTGTCCCAATTTTTGGGGTTTTCTTGGCAAAGAAACTGGAATGGTTTCCCATTTCCTTCTCTATTTTACAGATGAGGAAATTGAGGCAAGCTGGGTTAGGTGACTTGCCCAGGGACACACAGCTAGTAAGTGTCAGAGGTCAGATTTGACCTCAGGAAGATGAGTCTTTCTAACTCCATGCCCTGGGCTTTGAGGGAAAAAGGGATTCAACAGCAGGAAGAAATATGGAAGGGAATACATTCCAAGGATAGTTGACTAAGATGCACAGACACATGGCACGATAATACGGGGACCAGCCAGTTGTTGAGTATAGCCACACCATAGAGTATGTCAAGGGAAATAACAGGAACACAGGAGTGATGACATTTGTGAATGCGGACAGATTTGAGGTTTGTTACCAATGAATTGTATTGGGTGGGGTGGTGACATGAAGGCAGGGGAAAAGGCAAAGATAATTTAGTTTTGAGCCTGGGTGACTAGAATAATGGTGAAGCCATCCACAGAAGAAATGGAGAAGGAGAGAGATGGGTAGAGCTTTGTCAGGTGTAGGGAGAAAGAAACGGAGTTCTATTGTGAACATTTTTAGTTTGTTGTGGGAAGGGGAAGTGAAAAAGCATTTATATTAACACCTAATATGTGCTAGGCAGTGTGCTAAGTGCTTTTACAAATATTAATCTTATTTGATTCTCACAACAACCCTGTGAGGTAGGTATTATTGTCTTCATTTTATAGTTGAGGAAATTGAGACAAAACCTCTAAAGAGATACATATAAAATAGAGGTTAAGTGACTTGCTTAGGGTTACACAGCTAGTAAATGTCTGAGGTGGAACTTGAACTGAGGTCTTCTTAACTCCAGGCCCAGCACTTTGTACTTTGCACCACCTTGATGCTTAGCTGTTGTGGTATCAGAAGGAGATTCATCTATGGCCAGCAGAAATCTAGGGGTATAAGAATTATACTCAGGAGAGATAGGGTTTGGGGAGGCAGGATGATATAGTAGAAAAAACATTAGACTTAGAGTTGTCAAGCCCAGATTCCAGTCTCCTACAGAATCACAAATGTTCTTAGTCTCAGTTTTCTCATTTGTAAAATGGGGATAGAAAATGTTATTAGTCTCAGTTTTCTCATTTGTAAAATGGGGATAGAAACTTGCTTTGTAAACCATAAAAAAATATAAATATGAGTTACTCTTATTTTATGGATATCTCTGTAGCTTACATGATTATTCTTCAGTTTAGAATTTCAGTATTTATTGAGCACTTTGCTTTTTTTCTAGTCTCATGCTAGGTATTAATATAAGTGATCCATGAAACACAAAGTCATAATCCATTTCCAGAAGGAGATAATTTTAGTTTCCTGTTGTGGGAGATATTTTTGTAGTTAGCCTCCTTTGCTTTTAAAATTATGAAGAGATTCTAGATATATGTGGTGTCTGAATTTTTTATTTCTAATCTTATTCTGTTGTCATTTTTACATTGCACTTCTCACACAGATGTATGAACATAGCAGAATATCCTTGAGCTGCCTGATTTGACTCTGCTAATTCTGAGTAAAAATTATTTAATACTCAATGTATCTTTGGTTTTTGATATCCTAGTAGGCCTTGTTTAGTAAATATTATGATTGAACTAGATGTTCTCCTATCTTTAGTTCATTCTGCCCTGTTGGTGAAAAGGAGATTAAACTTCATAAAATCATAAACTTTATGAAGCTGGAAGAGTTCTTAGAGATCATCTAGTCCAGGGGTGGGGAACCTGTGGCCTTCTAGGTCCTTGGGTGCAGCCTTTTGACTGAGTCCAAGTTTTACAGAACAAATCCTTTTATTGAAGGGATTTGTTCTGTGAAGTTTGAATTCCGTCAAAGGGCTTCACTTGAGGACCTAGAAGGCCACGTGAGGCCTCGAAGCCACAGGTTCCCCAGCCTTGATCTAGTTCAATTCCATTCATTTTGTCGATGAGAAAACTCATATTCAAATAAGTTAGGTGAGATGAGTGTGGCCCAGTGGAGGCACTTTTCTTCTCAGGTGCTCTCTCTCCCTAGGCTGGGTTGGACTCCTCACCTGCACCCTATTTAGTCAGTCAAGAGGATGGCTCTGGAGTGTGATGGAATGGTAAAAAGATTGTGATTTGGTAATAGAAGTTTGGAATTTTGCATATGACAGTTCAGTACTTGTGAGTGACGGAAATATTAAGGCCATGACTGTCCCTGTGTGTAGCTGAGGTAGAATGGAGGAGGAGGGTTGAGCAACTGGAAAGGCCCTTAACCCTGTCTGCCTCAGTTTCCTCATCTGTAAAATGAGCTGGAGAAGGAAGTAACAAACCACTCCGGTATCTTTGCCAAGAAAATTCCATATGGGGTCACAAAGAGTTGGACACAACTGAAAATGACTGAACGACAACGTTTAATTTCAGTTGTTTTGTTCTTGGTCTTTACATTGTTGCAATTGTTGTAGTTGTCTTGGTTCTGCTTACTTCACTTTTCATCAGTTAATACAACAAATCTATGCTTCTTTATGACCATGTCTTTATGTTTTCTCACAGCACAGTAATGATTGTGAGTTCCTGTGTCGTAGTTTGTTTATCCGTTTTCCAGTTCTGGTTTTGGTTCTTTGATGCCTTGAACAGCGCTGCTATAAAACAAGTTCTCCCACGCTGCATGTCCCACAAGTGTCTGTGTAGGACATGGTGCCTCTTTTCTTTGTTACTGATGGCCATATCCCTCGCAATGAGTTCTCTGGATCAAAGGACAGGGATACTTTATTTCTCTTTATTATGTAATTCCAAATTACTTTATGAAATGTTTGTATTCGTAGCCCCACAAAAGGTGGGTTAGGAAGCTTATCTTTCCACAACCCTTTCCAGTGTTGACTGTAATCATCTATTGTCATAGCTGCTGATTTGTTGATTGTAAGGTAAAATATAGAGCTATTTTGATTTGTATTTTTTTATTGTTATTTTAAGAGATTCCTACATAATCTGCTGTTCTGGAGAACTCTTTGTAAATATCCTTTAACAACTTTAGGGGTGATTTTTAGTCTTATATTCAGGCTATACCAAAAGTCTTAGTGGAATTTTATCCTAATTTCTTAAAAGTCCACTAAGACTTTTGGGACATAATGTATTTATTAGTTATGTGTATATGTGTGTGTGTGTGTGTGTGTGTGTGTATACATACATATATACATACATATACCTTTGAACATCAGCAGTATTTAATTATTTTCCCTTTTGATGCATCAGTACTA